CGTTGATGGAACAGCTGCGGTTGTTGTTGTCATATGATACAATGTCCATGTACAATAATTACTTGTTAATTGTGTTATATTCAAATGGGTAAATATCTAACGCAGCATAACACAAACCATTCTGACATTCTGCTGCACTATTATTCTGATAACATTGTTGTACACTGCGTGTTGTCAGATTATTAAACAATGTTATTAAAAAAATATAACACAATACAAAAAACACAAAAAACAAGATTTTATCTTGTTTTTTGTGAGTTTGACACAGTATTATTTATACGTAAGTTCTCGTCAAAACGAAAAATTTATCGAACCTAGATATGCCACAGTTTTGGTTAACTAACAAACGATATAACAAAAAACTTTTTATTTCTATAGATTCTTTTAAATATCTTTGAACAATATTGTGGAAACATCTGAAATGTTCAGCCCAAAGGAATAATTTTCAGAATTGTACGCTCAACATTTTTTAGGTGTCTATAGACTAAGGTTAAAAATCAATTAACTATTTTTCCACCTGTGGCGGGGGGGGGGGGGGGNCGGCTACCCTATATTAGAAGGCCACCCACTGTATAAGGCTATGTTCGGACAAAAGTTTAAACGCCCTGTTAGAAGGTCATGGCCTTCTAATAGGTTTGTTTACATGAATGAATGAGAAAGACAGACAAAATAGTAAAAAATCGAAAGAGAAAATCAAATTAACTACAGCACAATCGCGGATATCGTGCACTAGACTAGTGTCATCAGCCTGGTCACACTGAACAGTATTGATCCAATGGCATCATTTCTTGAACTGAGATACGTATGGAATGATAACAGTCTGGTACGATCTCGAAGCATACCAGGCTATTGTTTTGATCCGACCAATGCCGATTATTCGACCAACAAAGATCCAAGTATAGCCGATGATAAACGTATTGAAGAAGAAGCTCGTAAAGTCACAGAACAGCATAATCGAAATCTTGACAAGAATCTTTAAATATTAGTCCGTCCAATAGTTTTCTTTATTGAAATATTTTTCCTTTAGTTTAAAATAATTAAATATTTTTTTATCTTACTACAACAAAAATATATAAATAAGACAGAAAAATGTTTAATTGATTTTTAATATTCGTCGTTTAATATTTTTCTTTTTAACATTTTTCGATATATCCATTCTTTTAGATCCAACATTTTTCATGCAA